ATCAAAAATCCTGAAAAAAGTATCGCAGTTTCCAAAAAAAATACAAATTTGGCAGCACAACTGTTACCAACATTGATAATTCTAATAATAAATCAGCATATTAGAATGATTTCTGAAGGATCATGTGACACTGAAGACTGGAGTAATAAAATTCAGCTTTGCATCACAGAAATAAATTATATTTTAAAGGATATTAAAATAGAAACCATTATTTTATATTGTAATAACATTTTGCAAGATTACTGTTTTTTTCTTTTTGATTAAATAAATGCAGCCTTGATGAGCATAATAGACTTCTTTAAAAAACATTACAAGTCTTTCTGATCCCAAACTTTTGAGCGGTAGTGTGTATATATATATAAATCCATAAATAGTGGCCTCTCCACACAAGCAAAAATGGCAAGCCTCATTATATTTTGTTTACATGCATTTTTGCTCAGTATTCCTTTATTTACTTTTCATGTGTGCTCTAAAATGAAACCAGGACAACATAATCTGCTCGGTCCAGCCAAAATACACACTACAACATCAACTCAATTTACAGATCTACCTCTCAGTTTTGACCCTCAGACTGTTTGAACTCTACGACCTGCTTGGTGACCTGTTATATACGATATTGTTGTAAGGATCTTGTTCACTGGATCTCACTGGAGGAGGCTTTGAGTCTTCGTGAGGAGCATCTCCAATTACAAACTGCATCTAGTGTGCTCTACTGTACTGGGGAGCTTTCCCACAGTACTGAACCTGAGATGAACTTGACAAAATAAACGCAGAAGGGTAAGAGAATACCAAGCCCATGCCTTCCAACAAAATAGACTGATATTTCACTAATAATAATAATAATAACGTTTCTAAGAAGAAATCACATGCTTCTTATATGCATCTCCTATGGCAACTAAAATGTTATGTAGATGTTTTCTCTATTTCTAATAAATAAATAAGCAAATAAATACTAGCCACATATTAAAGTCTATTGCTATTGAACATTCACACTATTTTATAGATATTATGTTTGACATTTTAAGTATAAAAGCTATAATGTCACAATGGGAACATGCTGTTGAATAGCCTATTAAAGACCTTTCATCAAAATGTAAACAGTTAAACATATATA